CCAAGCAGCAAAACAGGGCATCCTGACCAATCCAAAGCAAAATTGCCCTAATTAAGACAATAATGACTAAATTTCGACCTAAAATATGTCATAAAAGTAATATTATATTTGAGGTTTTCTTCGCAGGTAAAAAATTACCTAATTTCAACGTATTAATGTTTTCAAAGTCCATTTGCGTTTAAAGTGTTCTTGATAGGTAAAAAATTACTTAATTTTGATCTAGTAAATTCTCTCAGAATCTGGTAATGATTAATAAGTTTCTGAGGTTATAAATTACCTAATATCGAACTGTATTTATGCCTTCAAAGTCGAATAGACTTTCAAGTTGTCAAAATAAGGTAATTATTAGACAGCGGAACTTTATGCAAAATACTTAACTGAATGTTTTGCATAAAATGCATATTTTGCAATTTTGTAAATTTACAGATGTCAATCTCAATCTTTTTATTTCACCTTTTAATAACTCTTTAACAAACAACGATTGACTGCTAAAACTGTCCAATAGTTAATATTCAGTTAAGTATTTTGCATAAAGTTCCGCAGTCTAGTAATTATTGACTTAAAGACGTTCGTTGATATTTGAATGATGTCACTGCTAACTTCGAAGTCGAGATTACCAAGGAAAGTTACCTATTAGGTAAATTTAGTCAACACTTGATCCAAATGACCAACAAAATTGACTTCAAAGTAAATTGAACCAGTCTTGCCCTAAAAGTCCATATAATCCTGTATGTCAATTTTGAGTCTTCTACTTCATATAGTACACTCTTGACTGATTTATATATAATATAGGTGTGTAGTATAGAAACAATTAAATAAGAAAAAGAATGTCAGAGCGAACCAAGTATAAACCATATTGGTTAACGTCAAGTTATTATAGAAAATTAAGAAAAAATAAAAACAATAACAATGAGAGTATACGTGAAAGTGCACACATTGATAATATTACAAGTTATGCAAGTGCCAGTGTCGTTCACAATGATCAGTTAGTAAATTCGACAGAACCATCAACAGCAAATGATAACTATAATGTATTAGTTAATGATGAAGAGTTTGACTCGATTCCTGAACAAGATGATACAGATACTAATCAAGAGCAATTAATAAATGATAAATTGTCATTGTTAAATGAACTGTCAGATTGGGCGATTGCATACAAATTGATTCTGGCTTCTGTCACTAGCTTATTAAAGATATTGAGATCGCACGGTATGACAGAGCTACCAAAAGATGCAAGAACTCTATTAAAAACTCCTTTATCCACCGATATTATTGAAATGGGAACAGGGAAATTTTGGTATAATGGAATTAAATCAAATTTATTATCAACTCTTTCGATTTGTGATATTTCCCAACCACTGACAATATCGTTAGTATTTAATATCGACGGCATGTTACCGTTTAATGGCTCTCAGCATCAATTCTGGCCAATTTCTTTTATCATCAAAAACATGTCTCATATACAACCAATGGTTGCAGCGATTTATTATGGTGATAGCAAACCGCCTCTCCAATTATTTTTTAAGCAATTTATTGAAGAATTGAAGGAAATTTGCAGAGAGGGCTTGCAAATCGGTAGACATGAAGTAAATGTCAAGATAGAATGCTTCATTTGTGATACGCAAGCTAGAAGTTTTATTAAAGGTACATTTTATTACAAGAACTAAGTTGTTAAATATTGATTCTATTTTTTTTTAAATTCTGAATTTTATTATTGAATGTTCATATTATTAGATGATGTGAAATTTATTAAAAAAATCAGTTCTTATTATGTACAATATTAGAATCAAAGTTTTATTTGAATTTTTAACACAATTATTTAACGTAACTTGAGGGAACTGCTCTGAAATGTTTCATCATAGTTACTTTAATTTAAACATGCTTTAATTCAAACATTTTCAATTGCATTATGTGGTAAATTATAGGCACTCCTGGTTCAAATGCTGAATATGGAAGTTGTATAAAATGTACTGTAGTAGGAGATTGGGATAAAAAAGGAAGGCATATGAGTTATCCTAAAATTGATTGCCCTCGCAGAACCAATGAGAGCTTTCGCAGTAAAATAGATGAAGATCATCATAAAGAAGATACTCCTCTAACGGAGTTAGATATTGACATGGTAGAAGATTTCGTAATTGCAGATTCCCTCCATTTATTTGATTTAGGTATATTTTGATATTGGGACTTCACATATTAGTATATTTTCTATTTTAATATTATACAATTCCGCGCAGGTCTTACACGCAGATGCTTATACGGATGGCGCGAGGGTAGTTACAATTTCCGTACGAAATGGTCAAAAGCACAAGCGGATTCAATATCAGAAATGCTACAAACTTGTAATGCAACTAAACCAAATGATATTCATCGACAAATAAGAACTTTAAAATTCTTAAAATTCTGGAAAGGTTCTGAGTACCGAACATTTGGACTCTATCTTGGTCCAGTAATTTTGAAAGATTTTTTGCCGTCAGACGTATACGAACATTTTTTAACACTTAACGCTGTTCTCACTATTCTTTCATGTAATTACTATTCGCAGTATTTAGATATTGCTGAACGATTATTAAATAATTATATCGAAACCTTCATTGACATTTATGGAATTGATTCCATTAGTAGCAACGTACATAATTTATGTCATGTAGTTGATGACGTTAGAAAGTTTGGGCCTCTACCAGGAATAAGTTCCTATCCATTTGAAAATTGCCTTGGACACTTAAAATCTTTAATTCGAAGTGGTAATTTGCCACTAAGTCAGATAAGCAGAAGAGTTCTAGAGTTATCGAAATTAAATTTGAAACGTGAGGATGACTCTGGCATCTTTTTGAAAAATAAGATTATCCACGAAAATCATGAAGTGTCAATGTGTTCAGGTGTTTACAAGACACTGCATTTGTCTAAGAATTTTATTTTATCAAATGACGATAAAAATAAGTACTTTATGATCAAAAATAATGATATCGTTTCTATGATAAATGCTACTGTATTTAAAAAGAAAATTCATGTATTCGGTGCGTGTTTACAAAATATATATGACTTTTTTGTCAAACCTTTTACTTCGTCTCGTCTTAATATATACGCATCAAAAGGAAAGCCGATAAATACTATGAACGGAAATAAATATATATGTGACTTAGAAGCTCCAAAATTATATTCTTTTAACGATATAAAGTGTAAATTATTTTGTATACAATATCACTCTGAGTTTATTTTTTTTCCGTTAATACATACCCTAAATATAAAAATTACATGTAATAATTCATGTAGAATATATTGTATTTAAAAAAAGTATATTGTATATAATATATACAAACTGATTTTGTTTACATAGCAATATTATGCGTTTCATCTTTTTCCACTTCTTCTACTTCTTTATTGTTAACTTCTGGCTCATTATTATAAATAGTATCAACTAATTGCACGTTATTATTGATATTTTTTTCTTTTTTCTTTTCAACGGCTGCATTTATTTGTTTGGCATGTTTCAAAACGTGATTTTTGAACAATTTTTCATTTTTCGAAACATTCCAACGTGAATCAGCCATAGCAGTTAAATCATTTATTAATGACAAAATTCCGTCACACAATTGAAAACATTCTTTTTTCTCAATACCAGTAGTTCTCGATACACTAGTCCAGGAGAAGAGAGTCAGAACGTATTTCGAAAAAAAAAATAGCGACTATATTTTTTGCCACGTTCTTTCCCTCTTCGTTTCCTTCTGTTTCACCAATTGTCTTATATGTGTCAATCTGAAAATAAGATGTTTTTAAAAAATTATCAATAATAAATGCTAATTATTCATAAATATATTTAAAACTATTATTTCTGTCATTTTATTTAAAAGCCAATAACAGTAATTTTTATTTACAATACACATATAATTACAATTATAATTGATATGATATAATCTACTTTATACGAGCGGAAAAAACTTCCTGTTATTTGACGCACCAAGATCAAAAAGTTATTAAGAGTACGAATTACAAAAATAAAAACTTACCAAATACATTCTATATTCTTTATTAGTTAAAATTTCCTTGTTAAAATTTAGTACATCTGATACTGTATTTAATGGAAATATAAATTTTTGCGCAAATAAATTGAGAGGCTCGGTGATACTGCTATTTGGATTGATATGCATGGAAGAATCTGCAAGTGAAGAATCTTGTATGCCCTTTAGCATAGTATATACTTTATCCGTTGTAAGTGACAGTTTTAAAACTGCTACATTCATTTTTTCTGCAAAGAGTTTTTGGTGTTCTTCCATTCTTGTTTGACTAGCTTGTACGTCCAAAATTATTTGCAAAACTGAAAGAAAGTAGATATTAATAATAATGATTATTATCATAATTTTTAATGTATTTTAACAGATTTTCGATTTATCTCTGTCTTTAGAATCACAAAATTATTATCAGAGAACTACCAACCCTTGAAGAAAAATATAATGTTTATATAAAACGTCAGCAATTAAGCAATTCTAAATACAACAAAAACCTAGAAATCTGGACAATTAAACTAATAAATCAAAGATGAAATACAAATTTCCAATTTACCAATATAGAATAATTTATACTTACTTTCTTTCAATACCAAGTCGTCTTGAGAATGAAGGGGCAAATTTAAGGAGGATACATCGATTGTAGTCACATTTGCAGAATCATATTCAACTGGTAACAGAAAATTATTTGTATCATGAATTGTGTTGTTTTCATTAATAGCCAATTTTTCAGGTTCTTCTTGGATATGTATTTCTGGGATAGTAGAAGTAGGATTAAGGTCTTGAAACAGTTTATCGATTGATGTTTGGGATGGAATTGGCCGCTGGATGCTTTTATTAGGTTTATGTCTTTTAATCGGCAAACTTAAAAATTTAATGTACATATATTAATTGAGTTGCATTGCATAATTTCATTAATTATAATTTTTTCTGAATTGTCCCTGATTATATTCTTATAACTTTTAAATGTAAATTATATATACTTATGTTTCTTCTGATTCAGTACACGATGCATTCACATACTCTTCCTCCCACAGTTCGGCCTCGTCGATCCCCACGATATTATCCTTTTTTACTTTACACTTATACTGTTCCCAATCAGATTCATACATGCTCGTTGGGCACTTTACTACTGATGCTGATCGCAAAATCGTCGCGATGATTCCTGTAAGATCGCCTCCCACAGAGAAATGACAATGAAATCGACTTCGAATCAACATCGATTGAATCGATTCGACATCGATTTCATTGTCATTTCTCACTGGGGTCTTCCTCGTCGCAACTATTTCGTCGATAAAATTGACAGCGTCGCCGAAATAGCAATGTAGCTTCTCAGCAAACAAAGTGACGTTAAATACGTCACGCCTTAATACGTGTTAATGATGTATCTAACGTTAATAAAACGTCATTGAAACGTCATTTGACGTCACTTTGTTTGCTGAGTATTATTTTATCAAACGGTTTGTTAATCTTCTGACAATGACAATAATTAATCCTCCCATTTGTTTTAAATTAATGATTTACCTATGTATTCAGATTTATATATTCAAATATTTTAATTCTAATAGCGTTTTCGGCCCGATCGGGTTTGCACCAACTTGGGTTGGATTAATCTTTTCTATTGGTTGATGTCACACGCTCTACCAATAGGAGAGCGCAAAACGTCATTAATCCAACCCAGGTTGGTGCAAACCCGGTCGGGCCGAAAACGCTATAAATATAGATTGGCTAACTGCTTCACCAGCGAATTCGATCAATGCGTTTTGCAAATACTGCAAAAATGAGATCAAAACGCATAAAAGAGATCTACAGGTCCATGCGCAGGCAAAAAAACACAAGAATTTAGTAAAAGAACAGATCGAAAATGCCACAACCCCAAAAATCACACTATTTGCAAAGAAAACAATCAGCGAAAAAAGGAAAATAGCAGAGATGAAGCTTGCAACTTTTGTGGCAGAACACTGCTCGATTAATTCTATTGACCACTTAGGATTTATAGTTATGAATTTAGACAGTAAATTCGAATTTCTAAAATACATCAAATTGCATAGAACAAAATGTACATCATTGATGAAAAATGTAATTGCGCCGTGTATGCTTGCCGATTTAGTGAACGATATTGGTGACGAGTTTTATTCTGCAATAGTCGATGAAAGCACAGCTGTAGACACGAAAAAATTACTATGTATAATGATACGATATTTTAGCAAAGCGAAAGAGAAAGTAGTTACTAGTTTCTATAGACTTATCGAAATAGAAACAGCAGATGCTGAAAGCTTGTTTCAAGTTTTCACGAATCAATTAAAAAATGATAATTTAAAATTAGAAAACCTCGGCATTGGCGTTGACGGCGCAAATGTTATGGTTGGAGAGCATAACTCTTTTTCATCGAAATTAAAGTTCATAATTCCGCACCTAGTGACAGTTAAATGTCTGTGTCATTTGTCCGCAGAGTACGCATTCCGCGTATTGCCTAAACATCTTGACTTCTTGATTCGTGAAAGCTTGTGCTATAAGAAAACCACAATTGGTTTTCTTATAGCACAAAAAGGCAAGTGCAATACAAGTCCATTTATCAATTAATAAACGGCGAAGATGGTAAGAAGCCAAAGAAAATAGCTAAGCTCTCGGGCACTAGATGGTTAGCACGAAATGAAGCCATAAAAACGATTTTAAGTCAATGGGATGCTTTAAATTACATTTTAAGTTAGTTGCGGAAAAAGAACGATGTTATACTGCAGAACAGTTGTACGAAATGTACAATGATGAAGACAATCGAGTTTATCTGATTTTCCTGTCTTCTGTTTTATCAAAAGTTACTGCTTTAAACAAATTAACTGTTTCAGTCTGACTCAGTTGATCCATTAAAGTTATTCGAAGATTTAAATGAATTATTTTATTTACTTTTGCAAAAAATCGTAGTACCACAGCAACTCGAAAAGACGTGCATAATAAATTTGGAAAACTTTGATTTCTTAAATTATTTAATGTCCACTGATTGCATAAATCTAGGATATGAATTTAATAATGCTGTCCACGGACTCCAGAATAAAACATACGAAAAAATTAAGAATATTAAAAGGCGATGCAAAGAATTCTTAGTGGAATTGTGCAGGGAGCTTCAGAAGCGATTACCAGAAAATATTCAACTACTCAAAAGTATTAGCAATTTCTCACCTCAATTGGCAACGAGTCAAATGAAGCCGGATATAACCGATATTGCTATTTACGATTTAAGGTATCTGCGGAGACGTTGATGAAGCAATTACAGAGTGGAATCTCTTGCATACGGTTAACATTAGTTTTTCATCGGAAGACTATTGGATGCAAATTAATAAAATTGTTAACGCAGGCGGACACAAAAGATTTGGACATATATCCAAACTAGTTTTAGCTTTAATGAGTTTACCTTTTTCTAATGCGAGCGTTGAGAGAATATTCTCAATTATTAATATCATTAAAGATAAGTTACGAAATAGAATGTCAGTAGAAACTGCAGATACTATTTTGCGCATCAGAAGTAATTTACCAAATGGCTGTATCGCTTTTGAACCCACTGAAGATATGCTGAATAAATTTAATTCGGAAACTATGTATTCTTCTAACTTTGTAGAAGAAATATTAGATTCATTCATAGAATGCTAATTCTACAAAGTTATAAGAATACATACTTAATAAAGTTAGAAGAATACATATTTATTATACTTCATGTAAAATTAAATTAAGTACGTCGTTCGAATAAAATCATTCCATAAACACATTTTCATTTCATATATATATATATGTCTTTTTTTTAATCTAGGGGTTTTATTACCAATCTAGGGGGAAATATAGGCTGGCTTGGGGGGGTTGCATTGAGGTCATCTGGCAACACTGTCATACAATCGCTTTTTCTTCAGTAAATATCACCCATAATAACTTGGTAGTCCATCAAGGAAAGTAACTGTGCAGGTTTCCAAGTGTGGAGTGGACGCTAATTCAACAGTCATTTATGAAAACTTCATTAATAATTAATGAGTAACTCACCTTAACGGACTCACAAGCATGTTCAGAAGCTTTGGATTTCTTGAATACAAAAAATATAAACTAAGTTTTTAAAACTAGACACAATTATAGAATTCATAGTCCGGAGTGTCTAACGTTAAAAAATACAAAGAAGAAACGAGTAATAAATAAAACGATAACAAGAACAGAAAATTAAAGACTCCGTCGGATTCAACCAACAACAAGCATAAATAAACGATTTACAAGAAGCTTACAATTCACAGTCGTACACATATTTAAACATCGATGAGATCGGACATGTTGGCATTTTTCGAAATTGTCTAACATCGAAGCATAAGTGTGATGCTGTCCCTCAGTATTACAACGCAAATTGAGCCCATTTCTTTGTAAATGTATATGTGTGATTTTTGAGGTATTAAACGTTTATTTAGAGAGGCTTCTGTATCAAGTATCTTAATATTTTCCTAATCGAATTTGTGGTTGAAGTTTAATCTATGGTGCGTGATTACCGATTGGATCTGTGTATTCCAGTTTATGTGATTTTGATATTTCAATATCCTAGTACCGACTTTCCTGCCTGTCTGTCCTACGTAGGACGCATCATAGTCCCTGCAGGAAATCTTGTAAACTACATTTCTATTTGTGTTTTTTGGGAGCTTATCTTTAAGTATTCCCTGATAAATTTATTGTTTCTGTAATACGCTGGTTTAAACTTTTCCTTCCTACTAATCATCTTAAATTTACTCTCAATTACTGAAGAATATGGTTTCAAAAACCATGGTTCTTGATCTTTATCCTCATCAACATTATTATTATTAATATTCTCCTGTTCTGACGAAGCACGTTTGAGAAATAAATATTTTAGTCGATAATTAATGATATTAAAAATAAAATCCGCTGGATAGTTATTTTTTAAAAGAGTATGAATTATAAACTTGACATTCTTGTTATGAAATTTAGGATCTGAGAGTAGTATAGCTCTGTCAATCGTTTCTGTCACTGTGCTTTTTTTTTCTAAGAAATTGGATGAGAAGGTAAATAGTTAAGGTATCGCCCTGAAAACGTGGGCTTGTGATACCAATCAAATTCTAAAATATTATTGCTTTTAATTATTGTCAGATCTAAAAAGTTTATTCCCTTACTTCTGTTTTCCATTGTAAATTGGAGTCTACTATGAAATAAATTAAAGGTTTTTAAAAGTATGACTAAATTAGGCTAGTGAGAGTCTAGCAACGGTGAACGCAATGATAGGTGAAAACCATACTCAGATGTTAACTTAAAGTCTTCTGTATTTGGACGTTTCGACTCTCTTTGGAGTCATTCTCAGCAATAAAGTTACAATATGATTGACTTACATGTCCTCGATGATTAAGTCACTCGCAAATTGGCAAAGATGCAGCGTTGTTAATCTAACAATTACACAATTTTCTCATTAGATAATGCCTGAGTTCACAACATTAAATGAGTTACCACCATAGGACATGAAGCGCGTCGCGAAGCCATATAATAATCACAAGACATCACAATTAACACATCGGTCAATAAGTCCCGAGGCTTTTTGTGAAATGGCAACGGTAACGAAAATTTCTTCTTGTTACCATCACGCGCCATCTCTTAGATGACAGGAAAAAAAAATTCATGAAAATCCGCCCAGTAGTTCCCAAGTTACACCGCTGTGAGTGACGGTACTCTTGGTAGTCGTCTGTTCCACCAAGACAACGCGCCGTGTCACAAGTCACTGAAAACGATGGCGAAATTGTACGAATTGGGCTTTCAACTGCTGCCGCACCCACCATATTCTCCAGATCTGGCCCCCAGCGACTATTGGCTGTTTGCACAACTAAAAAAATGGCTCGCTGGTAAAAAATTTCACTCCAACGACGAGGTGATTGCTGAATGTGAGGCATATTTTCAAGGTCAGGAGAAATCATTTTATAAAAAAGGTATCGAAATGTTAGAAAGACGTTGGACTGATTGTATCAACCTTGAAGGGAACTATGTTGATGAATAAAAAAAAAATTTCCAAAAAAAATGTTTTTTTCTTTATTTGCCTCGGGACTTATTGACCGATGTGTTAAATATAATAAATTTGAATGATATCGACATC